GGGGCAAGGAGGGCAGGGGGGAAGAGGAGGGAAAGTTCAGACTGAAATGGAAACAAATTCAGTTAAACAAAAGAAGTAATACTGGAGATTGCCACTATAGTGCAGCTAAGACTTGGCAAATGAAATACTTGAGTATACACTTGCAGGGCAGCCCTGCTTCTGCCACACGAATAAATATCCAACAGTGTTTAAAAAAGTATATAAAAAAAGACGTCAGGATTTTCAGAAACGGTGCAGGTTCCATCCCTGTAACTGCATAGTAGGTTCCCTCACGTGAGGTATTTCAGCATCACCACAAAGGAAAACAATACTTCTGCACTCCTTTTCCACAAGCGCAGTCTAATTTGAGCTGAGGTCGTACGATGATCATGCAGCGATGCGAGGTGCAAGCTCCTCCCTCGTTTGCTCCACCCTCGTCTCTCCAGACCACAGTGATCACACTGTGCTGTGCGGAATGAAAACGTGCAGTCAGAGCAGTAAAGGCTCAGTTCAGTACCCACAGAATACAGGCACGGACCTCTTATCTCAGCCACTGCACATCTCGGGGTTGTTTTTTTGTTTTTTGTTTTGTTTTTAACAGACATGTTCACACAGAGTCTTCCAAAAAGAAGTTTAGTTCATGTTGCCAGGTTGGATTACTAACCTCAAATTAACTTCAGAATATTTCCTTGGTTAGCCGTTGATATATAGGTTGTCCAGCAAAATAAATGCATATTTTACCATCATCAATGGCAACCTGTACATTTGTTTTTGCATTACCAGCAGAGCTGTACGGGACAGGCATCTCTCCTACCAAACTGGAAAGTCTGCTGTCCATCCCATACTTTTTTCCAAGGAAGGTTATTTTCTTGTGTTGCATGTATGTATTTTAACCGTAGTCATTAAATACAGGATGTTGGCTTCACATCCCATCTGGCCTTTTTGGAAGCATCTTTTTTCATTCTTCAAAGAAAATAACAGCATCTTATTAGTGAAACCCAGGATCACAACTTCTTCTGGTGATGTGCAACAGTCAACGGTGGATCTTACCAAAGGCATGTCATTAGTACCGCTGCAGCATTTGACTGTCTCTCCTCCAAAATGTGAATGTGATCAAAAGAAAGAGCAAATCCAGAAGAAACAGATGTCTTCTACTATCTTCAAAATGACACTTCTCCTCTTACATTCCATCTTTGCTGTACAATCTACACTCACTGTAGCTTTGTTTGCGGGGTTTGTTTTGGGAGGGCTATTTTGTTTAAGAATAATCATACCCCCTGCAAATTCTGCTACCTAATGATAATTGCTGCTTGTTATCAACACCCCTGTTAGCATGTAGGCTCGTGTACTCTCACAGCCAGCTCTCATGGAAGTAGTAAATAAAGTTGTTTTTCCTTCAAAGACACAAGCATTGTCCAGTCTGTGACTATACCAGGAACACCTCTATAGCTTTTCCATGCCTTCCAAAAACTTCCATCAAATGCTTCGTTTTGCTCATGCTTTCCTTAGAACATCCGAGGATAAGATGGGTTTTGCTTAATTATCCACTCAGCATGGGGATTGATGTGGTACAAGTCTAAGAGGTAAGTGTCTGGGTCCAGGCAACGTTCACCTACCAAAACAAGAGATTCAGAAAAAAGCATTTGTTATATCCTTAGTCCTGTAGTTGCCTGCGCCAGGGTTTCACCACCCTCATTGTAAAAAATTTCTTCCTTATATCTAGTCTAAATCTACCCTCTTTTAGTTTAAAACCATCCCCCCCTTGTCCTGTCGCAACAGGCCCTGCTAAAAAGTTTGTCCCCATCTTTGCTGCGGGTAAGGTTAACCCACACTTGTTCATTTGTCTTTTAACTTTTAGAGCCCCCTCCAAATCTCATTCTTTTTTTAACTCCCTCCTAAGATAAGTTAAGCATAAAAAACTGGATATCAGAGTCTTTATTTTCAGTTACCACCCAGACTTACCAATATTGCCTCCCACTTCATACAGGAGCAAGTTTGTGCACTCCATTGAGTTGTTACTGCAGAAAGAAAAACACATTGAAGTTAACAAAGCTCTGCCAAAGGCAAGTTACGTAGTTTAGTAATGTTTCTTCCCAAAAATTGCTTACGGTTCAGAAGCCAGCAATGGTCAAGAAAGCTACAGGCCATGGTACAGAGACCTTGCTGATCCTCCTGAACAGCGCAGCTGTTGAAAAGCACACCCAAAATTGGAAAAAAGAAAACAAGGCAGATATTCCCTGCTGGTAGCGAGATGCACACTATATGCAAACCCTAACTTTTCAATAGGAAGACAACAGGCATAAAAACCAAAGTTCATTGGCAGTATTGCTCTAGAACTGATGGCCTGTTCCAGAGAAGTTCATCTGCAGGAAGACTTCAGCAGCTGTAGTAGCTTGTTAGCAAGACACTAGTTCCCAGCTGACCCATATTCAGCCAACTTCCCATCCACCCTCCTTGTCTAGACATCTCCTGCCCAGGGACACAGGCATGAGATGCACTAACACTTTACCTACTAAATATGGTCTGCAGGCATAGCGACAGAGGTGGGCAGGAACTCTTTTGTTCATTTTTGGGGTTATTTCAGCAATTCACCACTGGACCACAGGAGGGAATTGCAGAGCTTACTTTATAAAACACCTACATTAACATGCACATGTTGGAAATACAACTCCAGGCAAGTAATTTGCACAGGTGATGTTCTTCTCCAGGAGAGCTAGAGAAGGTTTGTTTTGCAGGGTCAATGTTTTTTGACTTTCCCTTCCCTCCAGCAAGGCTGCTAAAGTTCACATAGCGTCCAGCAAACCAGAGGGGACTACCTGACCTGCTGAGCACAGTGATGGAATCACTCAGTCAAATTAACATTTGCTTGCCCCATCCAACATACACAGAAACTTAGAACAGAGGACCAGAGAAGTCTCCTACCAGCTCACTATGCCACCAGATCAGCTCTGCCAGAACTAGACCACCTGGTACTTTTTTTTTTTTTTTTTTTTTTAAAGAGAGAAAAAGCCATTTACCACTTGAGGAGGTTGACAGTGTTAACAATATTCCAGCCATTCTGGCTCAGGTTCTTCTGAAACTGCCTCAAGACATCAGCAACTCTGGTTGCATTGTTCAAATGCACCTCTAGCGAATCCTTCAGGAGAAGCGAAGCATGGACTTTCACAACCTTGGAAGGCTGAACAAGGCAGGCAAAAAGAAGAAAGTGCTTAGAGAAAGACTTTGTTACCAGCTAAAACATCAAGTTTCAGAAGAGTGTGAAGAAATAAACCTATCCAGCAAACTATTCCGAGAATTTAGGTTTGTTTCGTGTCCCACACATGCTACAGACTGGAAGCTTATAGAAGCGTCAAGGTGAGCATTATAAACAAATCATCTGTGCTTCGGTGTTGGAGCTGGGGAGAAAAGCACCGCTCTCCATCAGCGTGCACTGGTGCTCTCTGCTGTTCAAATACAGCACCGGCACTAGAAGCGACACAAGCTTTGATGAAAATAGGATTTGTCAGAATAAATTTTGACAGACTGTTTTGCCCAAGTCTGATAGACTTCTCCGGAATTAATTTAAACTACTGGAAAAGGGGTTCAGACAGTTGAATTGCAGACTACCAAATTTCAGAAAAGTAGTTTCAAAAAAAGGAAGCGCTGAGACATCACAGAGCAGAGTTCAAGTGCTATTTTCTCAAGGTTGTTTTCATCAACTCCTTCATGAAGTAACTTCTCAGAACTTTTGTGGAGAACGTTGAACTGTTCTAACGGGGTCTGATCTGCAGCAAGTTAATTTTGCAATCCCAAATCTTTTGCAAAACGGCACTGAACACCGAGGCCTTTAGGAAGCGGTATTAGCACCGTTCTAAGCATTGGGTCATCTGTTTGACTGCCTAAACAGTAGTTGCCTCTCTGAAATGAGAGCACCTTCAACAGTGACGCGCAGCCTTTACAAGCCAAATTTTAGGCGGACGTCGTCTCAGTATTCCAACTTGTATAGAAAGGTAGGGGATGTACTGGCTTGTGAGAACACAAACTCTTCTTCAGTTCTGCAGATTTAAGCTTTCAACGTATTATTTCTACCTGCAGACTCCATCTAGCTCATGTCCTTAGAGCATCCCAGTTGCACCACCAGTGCTATGCAATACTTGCAATCCAGCATCACATAACTTAGCTGCTACAGACCTACACTTATTCAACTAACGGTGGCAACCAAAAAAAGGCAGAATGACTCCAAGGATCTTTTCTCACCTTTAATACACAAATAGATCTGATAGTAACATCTGTTTAAAAAAATCTCCCTCTGCACCAACACAAGAAAGAGTAGAGCCATCTCACTTATCAGGGAAGTTAATTCTCTCCTTTTAAGTGGCAAGAATGTTGTCCTCAAACCCTCCCATACAGATCAGCAGCATTATGGAGCAAAAATGAAATGAGATACAAAAATGTACTTTTACACTACTGTAATAGCCTGAATTTTTGCTTTAAGTTCATGAAAATAAGTCTGCCTTTATCACGGCAGACACATCTGTCTAAACGCATGGGGCATCTAGAGCCATGTGAATTCTGCTCTTCACGCGAGGTAGAGACCAGCTTTTCTGCTTCTAGTCTCTTCCCCCTTCTCCTGCAACAATGCAGCATCTTAATCAAGTGTTTTGTAGCCTGAAATTTATTTAGTACCCTTGCTGTTGGGATCAATGTTTGCCACAACCTGGCCGAAATGGTCTGGGAAGCTGTTCCTTATGGTTCTGCAGATTTTTCTCTCTCTTGCTCTGCAAAGAGCATCACTCCTCACAGTTTTCCAAGTTCTCATGAAAGCATTTACAATGAGAAAGTATTTGACACTGTTATGAAAGGGCCCAGTTTTTCCAAGTCCTAACTCACCTCTGCCTGGTTCTTTTCCACCTTGTCTTTATCAGCATGAATCTTCCGCAACAAGTTTTTAATTCGCTTGTCACAAAACTGGTACCTTTTGCTATTGCTCTCATTCAGCTTTCTCACTTGAGCTACCAGAAAAGAGGAGACCTGGGAAGGGAAGAAGGAAGAAGATAGGAATTAAATCAAGCAGAGATGAGGACGCCATTTAAGAATCTAAACATCACTTTATGAAGCTCCTTAAATAGACAAAATATCCATATATCTTGAAAACAAGTAGTCTTGGAACTCAGCTAGAGGTTTTGCCTACAGACATTTAACTCCTCTGAAATGTCCAAGACCATCCCTTCCCCTATTCCAGTTCTAGGCAGACCAAGACACTGCTACACCTTACCACAAGACACCTGCGCAACTTACTGTCCAGAGCAAATCCTGGTAATGGATCATCATCCGCACAATGTCAGCCGCCCCCTCTGCCAGCTGCTTCTCCTTCCCTTCGGGGATCTTGTTTGGCAGCCCCTTGTGCATGAAGAGGTTTGGGGCCATGACTGTGGAAACGTTCCAGAGGTTCATTTTGTTGTTGTTCTCCCTGGCAACCACTTTGCTGAGAAATTCAAGTAGAGCCTAAAGAGAGAGGAAGAGACTTAAGACATCCATTACTAACAGTCCTCAAGAAACTACTGTGGCAACTGCTGGAGAAACCATTTAATTAGTGTCTTTTCTTGATATCCATGAGCAAATCCTATTTCTCCAGTCAGGAAGTTCAGTGACCAGTTTCTAATACTAGGATAGCAACAAATAACCATACCAAGCAAAGAGATAGTTTGTCCAGCGTTCATGAATCAGGAGAGACAGGCTGTGTGGGAAGTAGATGAGCTCTTACTCCTTGGCAGGTGACAATTTACAAAGTCCAGGCATAAAAGTTACAGAATCCAAAGATGACCCCTCCCTTCCCCCAGTATCCTCTTCAAAGCTATTCCCAGATGTGGAAAAATAAACCCTTTTGGATCATCGCTTCTGCCTCACACCTCCACCAAAGCCATGACGCAAGACAGATCATCTAAGTCAGCCTTGCCTTTGTTACCTGGAAGCTGAACTACTCAGGAGAAAAAAAAAAAAACAACCAAAAAAACAGCAGCAACAACCACCACAGTTCTTATAAAGCACAGAAAGGCCGAGGTTGTGCACTGCCTGCAAAGCCGATCCCATCAGCATTTATTCTTTCAAAAAGTAGTAGGTGAAAGGATTTGAAATGTATTCTGATCAGAAAAGGGTAGGAAGTTATGAGCTTAGTAGCTTTTTTTGTAATTTTTTTTTTAAAATTGAAACTGTCCTTCATAGATGATGACAACATGACATGACGACAACATGACATGATGACAACATGACATGATGACAACACATGAT